GTAGTTAAACTACATGCATAGAAGTCCTGTGTTATGCTTCTCAGAATAATCCCATGCTATCTCTGGGTCCCTGCAGTGACTTTGGGATCGGGCTAAAGGGATATTGGAAGGCAAGTACCCAAAAGCTTGCCCATAGCCAACAGCTGCCATTGAATGTACTTTCCGCATCTTCATGGAGGAAGAGCTTAAGTTTAATTCATGCAGTGAGCTCAGAAAAGGAAACCAGAAGTTTGAGTTGTGAAATTGGAAGCACAAAGCCTTCAACTGATAATGAGGACATACTGGAGAGGCATATTAACTTTATCTGTGTTTGAGGTCATATACTTGCATTATTCCCCCTAAAGAAAGGAGAAGTGTAGAAACCTGAGATTTTCATGGATGATTTTTTAAAAGAAAAAAGTTATAAAAATCAAAAAAAGTAGTAGTAGTGCACATACTAAATAGTGTCATGTGTCATTCACAGTTAGACTGTTTTTAAAGGAAATAAATACATATGAGGTCTGTCCAGAAAAAAATCCAGCCATTGTTAAAATAACAAGAATGGTTTGCATGACATTATATAACCTGGCAGTCAAGGCAAGTGAACGGGAATGCACATGCGTGAACAGTGATGACTTCACTGTACTAATCAGAGGGTATTAGACGCCGCTGAGTGAGCATGTGTACTGATTGTCCATCACATTCAAAATCACTGAGCAGGTAAAGCAATGAATCTCCATCAAATTTTGCATTAAGTTTCAACACTCCTCCGTGGAAACTAGACAGATGATTCAGAAGGCCGCAGCAGCTATGGACAACTGGTGATTGGCAGCTTCATCACAACAATGTGCCCACTCACGCATCACGTCTCTTGCACAGTTTTTTGGTGAAACGTCAAATCACTCAGGTGACTCAGCCCCCCTGCAGCCCAGATTTGGCACCCTGCGACTTCTGGCTTTTCCCAAAATGAAAATTACCTTGGAAAGGGGAGAGATTTCAGACTGTGGATGGATTCAGAAAAATATGACAGGGTAGCTGATAGCAATTGGGAGAACTGTGTGAGGCCCTAAGTTGCCTACCTTGAAGGGGATGGAGGCATCATTGTCTTGTGTACAATATTTATTGTATCTTGTATCTTCTTCAATAAATGTCTTTTTCATAGTACATGTCTAGATACTTTTTGAACGGACTTTATAGATCTCTTTGTGTTTATCAAACTTTAGATCATTGAGCTTAGATTTGGCACATCCGGGAATGTGTTGACCATTATCTATTAAAATACTTTTTCAGTTTTTTTTTTGTTTCATACTTCTTTTTGTAGGATTTCTATTACCTATATGTTCATATACTTTACATTGTATGATGTGTTTCTTCAGTGCTATTCATTTTTCTTCAGTCTTTTTTTTTTTCCTCTTTTTTCCAAGTTGGAGAGAGTCTGTATGGACCTGTCTTCAAGCTCACCAAATCATTTTTCTGACATCGCAGTCTGCTGTTGAACCCCTCTTGTTAATTTTTCATTTTAATTGTACTTTTCAAATACAGAATTTCATTTTTCTTTTTTTGTCATTCATTGTTTTCTTATTAAGATTCTCTATTTTTTTCATTACTGCTTTTTCTATTACAATTGGCCCAATTTTCCACCCTTTGCCCTCCTCCACCCCTCCCAATCCTCGCTCCAACAGTCATTCCCCACACTGTTGTCCATGTCCATGGGTCATTCGTATATGTTCTTTGACTAATCCATTCCCCTTATGTACACCATCTACCTCTCCCTTTTCTCCTCTGGCCACTGTCAGTCTGTTCATGATTCCATATCTCTTGTTGTGTTTTGCTCTTTAGTTTATTTTGTTCATTAGATTCCTTTTATAAGTGAGATCATATGGTATTTGTCTTTCACTGACTAGCTTATTGCACTTAGCATAATAGTTTCCAGTTCCAAACATGCTGTCTTAAAAGGTAGCAGTTCCTTCTTTCTGCTGTGTAGTATTTAATTATGTAAATGTACTACAATTTTTTAATCCAGTCATCTATTGATGGGCACTTAGGCTGTTTCCAAAAATTGGCTATTGTAAATAGAACTGCTATGAACATAGGGGTGCATAAGTTCTTTTAAAAACAGACACACAGATCAATGGAACAGAATAGAGCCCAGAAATAAACCCGTGTCTCTAGGGTCAACTAATATTTGACAAAGGAGGCACAAACATTCAGTGGAGAGATATATCAGGATTGTTGGGATATATTCCCAGCAGTGGAATTGCTGGATCAAAAGGCAGTTCCATTTTTAGTTTTTTAAGTATATTCCATACTGTTTTCCACAGTGGCTGCACCAGTCTGCATTCCCATCAATAGTGCACTAGAGCTCCCTGTTCTCCACATCCTCACCAGCACTTGTTTGTTGGGGGTTTTTTTTCCTGCTGAAGAATACTTTGGCAAGTTTATTGGGATTTTTTGAAGTCAGAGTACTTCAAAAAATGGTAATGTATGATTTATATCAAAGCTAAAATGTTTTTATTATTTCTCTATCTCAAGGTGTTTGTTGATTTATTAATGATAGCCATTTTAGCATGTGTGAGATGGTATATCATTGTGGTTTTAATTTGCAACTCTGATGGCTAGTGATGCTGAGCATCCTTTCATATGTCTCTAGGCCATCCGTATGTCCTCCTTGGAGAAGTATCTTTTCAGGTCCTTTGCCCATATTTTAATTGGATTAAATGTCTTTGTGGTGTTGAGTCATATGACCTCTTTATATATTTTGGAGATTAAACCTTTGCCCAGTGTACCTTTGGTTAATATGTTCTCCCATACAGTCGGTTCCCTTTTTATTTTGATAATGTTTTCTTTAGCTCTCCAGAAGCTTTTAAATTAGATGTAGTCCCATTTGTTTATTTTTTCCTTTATTTGCCTTGCCCTAGGAAATATCTGCAAAAGTACTGCTATGCAAGATACCTGAAATTTTACTGCCTGTGTTTTCCTCTAGGACTTTTATGGTATCACAACTTATATTTAAGTCTTTTATCTATTTTGAGTGTTGTACGGTGTGCGGTGTAAGCTGATGGTCTAGTTTCATTTTTCTCATGTCCTAGTCCAGTTCTCCCAATACCATTTGTTGAAGAGGCTATTTTTACTCCATTTTATGTTTCTGCCCCCTTTGTCAAATATTAGTTGACCATAAGGACATGGGTTTATTTCTGGGCTCTCTATTCAGTCCATTGATTTATGTGTCTGTTCTTAGGCTAGTACCAGACTGTTCTAATTACAGTGGCCTTATAGTATAGTTTGACATCAGTTATTTTAATCTCTCCAGCTATGTTCTTCTTTCTCAAGATTACTGAGACTATTTGGGATCTTTTTTGTTCCATATAAATTTTTGAAATATTTGTTATAAACCTGTGAAGTATGCCATTGGTATTTTAATAAGAATTGCATTGAATCTGTGGATTGCTTTGAGTGTTATGGACATTTTTATGAAGTTAATTCTTCCTATCCATGAACACAGTTTATGCTTCCATTTATTTGTATCTTCCCAATTTCTTTCTTCAGTGTTCTATAGTTTTCCAAGTACAGGTCTTTAATCTCCTTTGTTAAATTTATTTCTAGGTACTTTATTTTTCTTGGTACTGTAGTAAATGGAATTTTTTCCCTAGTTTCTCTTTCTGATAGTTCATTGTTGTTGTACAGAAATTCCATTATTTCTGGATATGGACTTTGTATCCCACTATTGTGCCAGATTCACTTACTAGGTCAAGTAGTTTTTTGGTGGAGACTATAGCAGGGGTGTCCAACCTTTCGGCATCTGTGCACCACACTGGAAGAGAAGGGTTCTTAGGCCACACATTAAATACATTGCAACACATAATCACAAAAATATCTCATAATGTTTTAACCTATTTAAAAATTTATAGTTTTGTGTTGGTCTGCATTCACAGCCATCCTAGGCTGTATGCAGCCTGCGTGGGGCCACAGGTTAGACACCCCTGCTAGAGTTTCCTGTGTAGACTATTATGTCGTCTGCAAATAAGGACAATTTTACTTCTTCCTTTCCAACAGAATGCCTTCTATTCTTTTTCTTGCTGATCACTAGAACTTTGAGAACTATGTTAAATAAGAATGGTGAAAGCAGACACACCTATATTGTTACTGATCTTAAGGGAAAAGCTTTCAGGTTTGACCATTGATTATGACGTGAGATTCTCTCTCTATTTGTTGATTTTATACTTTGTTAATTATTATACTTGGTATTATAATATTTGTGTCTGGCAATGTACGTGTTCCTTGCTCTCTTCTTTTTTAAGTTGTTCCTATACTTTTCCATATGGATTATTTAATTAACTTGTGAGTTTTATGGAAAATCCTATTGACATTTTTGGAGGAATTATAATTTCCTCCTTCATTAATTTTGAAGAGCACTTCTTTACAGTAATGAATCTTTATGAAATCTTTGCTTACTTAGCTCTTTACTTAAGGTCCTTCAGTAAAGTTTTAAATTTTCTCCTTAACCTTTTAAGGAAAGCTATGGGATTTATCATCATAATTGATATTTTTATTACATTCTAATTTATTACGCTTTTATTATTGATTTTTATATATTTATATGTCACATCCTAGGTGAAATCTTTTATTCATTTGTATGTTCTTTTGGATTTACTATTTTCTATTTCTGTTTACTATCACTGAGCTAATACAAATGGGATCAATTACCTCAGTTTTTTTTAAATGTAATTATTTTGGACTGAGTAGAAATAGACTAAGGAGAATATAACTTCACATAGTGGCTTTTAGTAATTTTTCATTCTACCCTGGAGGGATACACCACATTTACCTCAGACACACTGATGGTAGGTGAAGACAACTTGTAAGACATTAGAAACCAAAAAAGGTACAGAACAAATTGTCTAGGTTGCAAAGGTATTATCTTGATTGTCTGTGCTCCTTGACTCCTTCGTAATAAAAGATTCTGTATACATAATTAATTTTATTCTTTTTCTGCATAAAATTTTTGTCTGTCTGTTTTTAAGGCTTTCTGTGAAACTTTAGAGGAGACAAACTACCGTTTTCAGAAAGAATTACTTGAAAAACAAAAAGAGGTGGAATCACTGAAGAAACTGCTCAGTGAGAAGCAACTGCATATAGAGATGCTAGAGAACAGGATCAGGTGTGTTTTGATACCTGCATTTCTAGTCTCAATTCTCAATACTCTGGGATAAATACCCTTTATAAATCTGATTAAAGAGAAATTTCTAATTTTAAAAGTCATGGACTTTTCATGTCGTTCCTTGTAGATAGAGAAAATTGTTTTTCAATTTTTATTTAGGAGACTGAACATTTGAAGGATGGGAAACTTCAGGATAATAAGCCTCTAGCTGTTCAACAAGATAAACATTATTCATTTTAACCTATTTAAAGGACATCTTTGTTCCTAGGCATCTATGCCAAATTTTCACACACAAACGTTTTAGTTTGCTTTCTCATCAGCATGCACTGAACTGATGCTGAAATCATTTTAAATTAATCATAAATAATAATATATCTGTTTACTCACAGTCAGTAATTAGCCATATGACTACATTAAGACTTAACAGCTGAAGACAACAAAAGCTACATATATTCACAACAAATATACATAATTTTACCAAGAAGATATTTGATAGGAAAATAACTTGTTGTAATTTACTTGCAGAGTATTGTGTTTAGAACCTGAGAAGTCACTGCATTTGTCGAGTATAGAACGTGAACAGATTCCAAAGGTGGACTCCCCTGTACTTCAAGTTGATCAAGAAGTCTTGGATGAAGAATCCAGGTATATCAAGTTTAGTTTATTATAGCCTAATCATCTGAATAATTGGAGGGAAATTGTTATAATACTCATAGGGTATCTTTTACTCACTCATTTATTGTAGTATCATGAATCTGCTGAGCGCACAGAGAAAGACTGTAGGTATTCTAGGCTGTCCTAACAGTCTTTGGCAGGCAGGCTCTAAGTTTTTTAATAAAAATACTTAATTTGAAGCTATGTTTGAATTAACTGGGCTGTAAATCAGTTAATTAATTTTGTAAATCTTGATAGATCAGTCTCCCACAATGTCACTCTTTCCTTTCAAAATGTGGGACACTATAATGGCCACTACCCTGCCTATGGGATAGGAATGAGGCAAATAGTATTTTTAAAAGCCCATAGAATTTTTATTGTATATAAATCCAAGCTAATTATTAATACTTTAGCAGTGATTGTTAAGCTATAATTATGACAACATATTTCATGTTTATAAGGACAAACTAGATTTTTATTGATATAGTGGTTGTTGGGAGAGCTGATAGAATTAAACATATATCTCCAAAAGGCAGTGACAAGTAAAAAAAAATTATAATTTTTTCATTAAATATTTAAATATTCTTTACATAAAAGATTTTTAAAGGTAATAGCATGCATCCGGCCTTGACAGTGACGTGTTTCTCTTTCTTTGCAGAGCTGATGACAAGTCATGCTTAAGTTTTAGTGAACCTGAAAATTCTGTGTCAGAGGTAGAAGTAGCAGAAGTGGCTTATAATGCTGAAGAAGACTAATCAGTCATAGCCGTTCCCTCTCTTTCTACGTCTCAGCAGCGTTAGACAGAACGTTTATTGAAAATAGCAAGAACACAAATGTATAAGGTTTACATAAACAAAAGTTTTTTAAATTATGGGGATAAAAAATATATTCACCAATGCTTTAAATTGTCTTTTATTCCACCTTTGGATTTAATACACTAAAAAAAAATCTAGTTAGAATTCTGTTATCAAGACCTACATTCTTCAACACTGTGCATAAATTATTTTGGTTTTTTGTCTGTATATTGCTCCAAACCACCAATGTGTGTTTATATTACCAGTTGCATTAGTCAAATTGACATTTATTGCATGTTGCTTGCTGTCTGGTTGAGATATACTTCTTTGTATCTCTGACAAGATTTAGTTGGTAAAGAACTAAGTTTTAAATATTGAAATGTTTACCATCTCTAAAAACTGCTTATTTAGAATGTTACTATTTAAAAATAGAAAACTTTCTAGTACCAAAGGAAAACTATTTGAAAGAGCTGTAATAATATAGCTAAAGTGCTAAAATAGCCTTGATTTTGAAAGTTAATTAATTAATATCAAACTACTCTAAGTGTCCCGGTTTATTGTTATTCTTGTTTATTTTTCACATAATTTTTATCTTAAATCTCTATCTATAGAATCATTGAGTTTGCCTCTTTGAGAACACTACCTCTTTTTGCTAATCAAGGCATACTCTTTTGAAAATATGTTATGGATTCTAAGCAAATAAGGAGTTATTCAAAAAAATACAAATAAAAAGCCATATATATACTACAAAGTTCCTAACTATGTTGACTCCTGGCATTGCATGTCTACATGTGTAAATATGTTACTATATTCTATTCTTGGCGATTTTCTGTTTAATATATTTAGCCAAGTGATGCACTTTATGGTAATTAAACTCTTTTGTGCCAAGTTGAATTGGTGAATTTCTTTAGTGAGTAGAGTTAGGGCCTTCAGTACTTCACCTTTTCCAAAAGTCTCCTGGGGTCTGTGTCAGCTTTATGAAAAAGTGTTCATTTCTGTTCTGTGTACAGTTGTCAAAAGTGCCTTGTTTCATTTTTATAGTATGAAGTTATTCATTTTCTATTTCTACTGTTTTGCGTATTGCTCTTAGTAAGCATTGTAATCATGCTAGCATTTTGAGGTCCTAGTTGGTGTATTGAACTCCATATACTCTCTAAAAACTGAGGGGAACTTGCTGGGGAAATAAAATAATAAGCTCCATTTTTTTTTCTTCACTATCTAAAAGTGTGTTAGTATCTTGATGAATGTATTAAGATGTCATTATTTAAAATTCTACTCACATAGGTTATCAGATCCAATGGCTGCTTTTCACCTTTGATCTAAAAAGGAGACTGCTTTTTATTAAAATACCAAAAATTTTGAAAGGCTATATCAAAATGCCCCAGGTATGTGCTGTCTCAGAATATTTTCCACAAAGAGTACCAGAAATGTGTTTACTAGCCTGGGAGACAGAAAGAACATAACACACTGGTCTACTTGTATCTTTCAAAATATTATTTTAGGTTTAAAAAGAACAATCATTTAAGTTAATATAATTTTTAATCTAATAAAACATGATGATCTATGCTAAATTCCAGATATTATAACACTATATGTCTGTTTTAAAGTAAACCATACTCTCAAAATCTGGTCTTTCATAAGATTGTATTAATGTTTGGGATGAGTAAAGAAAAACTTTTGTTAATTAGGTAAGCCACTATTATTTTGTATTTAGAATTTACTTTTTTACTTTTATAATGCATTTTATTCCCATTGTTATATTTAATAAATTATTTTTCTCAGTTCAACACTAGCTGTTTTGTTCAGATATTGAATACCATCCCCCTCCAGTTTCTATGTTCTTTTCCCCATCTGTATGATAATTGTAAATTCAATTGTCATTAACTGCTGCGTTTCGCAGATGTGGTGGAATGAGTTTTTAAGTTTATACTTTATATTAAGTCTTTGTGAAAAGGGGCAACGCACTTCAAATGTAACCGACATGAATTAAAAAATTGAACACAACTGAAACAGAAAACTCTTTTGTGGGTAATCTTTTAACCTTTGAAAAATCAAGTTAATAAATGGGTAGTACAAGCATAAAAGGTAGCATTTTAGCCTTTTAAACTGTATTATCTATCTGCTATATTGATATTACCTATTGAAAGCACATTTATTTAGAAAACCATGTTCCTATGATAAATCATCTGTGTAGTCTCCTTCAGCTGTCTCTGATAATATAGGGAACAATATGGCCTTAGGTCTAAGAATAATTTGGTTTTGAAGTGGATTTTGTAACTTAGCTCTTGGATTGTGTTAAATCAAGTTTGTATTCCCAACTAGGAAATAGAAGAAGTCTAAATCTTACCCTCTGGGATATTTTCACAGAGCTTCACATCTGATCCATATTTTGACTCTTCATAGAATTACCATTTTTTGCATTGCACTGTTTTCTATGTTGTCTGCTTCTGTAAGCAAAAACAATCATCAAAGCTTGTATTTTCAATATGTGTGTTTCTAAAGCTGATAGCTGTTATCATGTGGGAAAAAGATCTCTCAGGTCTCAACTCCAGTAAACCTGGGCTTCTCCTGAATAATTGACTCTTTTTCTTTGAAACCTGAAAAACTCTGTTACTGTCTTTTCTCCTTGTGGTTTTGGGCAGTTCTGAGTCCAACTGTAGTCACCTGTAGCCAGCTATATGGAACCTTGTGAGTTACAGCTTTTCATTATAAACATGACTATTTTTCTACCTTCTTTTCTCTTACCTCCAATTTTCCTCCCTGTTTAAGTTCTATTATGACATGTATTTTTGTTCTGATAAAGCCCAGATTTGAATATTCTAGACTACATGTGGTAAGAACTTGTTATAGCCTGTACTAACACACCTAATTGCACCATTAAGTGATGCCAATAATCACACAGAGCCAAATTATTCTTTTCCTTAAAAGATACCTTTAAGTGAGATCACCAGTTAGGCATCACAGTGTTAGACATTGGCCCAGAGCACAGTATTGAGAAACTCAGATGATGGTTTTAACCATAGCCTCAGCTTAGAACAGATCCCAGTTGCCACTTGCTTCCTGACTAAAGTGGAACAGTGTTATTGTTCCCACACAGAACAAACAATGAAAAACAGTACAGCCAATGTATTTTCAGTAGATGAAAGGTACGGCTTTATTGTTAGAGATACAGGTGAAGATAGGTCTGATTTTCAATACCCTCATGTAATGTTTGCAGCCTAGTTAACTGCAATCAAAGAGGTACATGTTAGATGGTGACTCAAGTCCTTCGCTAAGGTGTAAAATGCAAACCCACCTTGGGGCAACCAAGGGCAAACCGGAAGGCCCTCTAGAATTAGCTCATCTGCTCTTCAGGACTCCCGGACCCTGCTCAGCAAACACCACATGAGGACTAACCCAACAGATGTTTGCATTGCTCCCCAAATCAGAATTGGATAAACTATAAGTACAGTTGACCCTTGAATAATGTGGGGGTTAGGAGTGACAAACCAAATCAGTCAAAAATCCGTAAATAACTTGAGCCTGTAGCAGCCCTTCACATCTGTGGATTCAAACAACCAAGAATCGAAAGTATTCTTTTGCCTTCCCACATGCAGATTCGCAAGGTCAAACAAAGTAATTGTTTTCAATCCATGGTGGTTAAATCTGCACATGTGGAACACATGACTGGGAAGGGCCCACTATCCACAAAATCCCACATGTAAGTGTATCTGTGCAGTTCAAACCCATGTTGTTCAAGGTTAACTGCATTTCTCAGACCCTTGCAGCTGGAGTTGAGCCTGTGACATGACTTTGGCCAGTGAGACAAATGAAGTCTGCTAGACGCTTCTGGAATGGTTTGCTTTTCTGGTAAGAAGGTAGACACACTGGTATGAGCCTTCCCCCTCTTGTTTTGATTTCAGGTGTTGCCCAGTTGTGCTGTGGAAGTGAGGTGGCAAACAGGTGTAACATGTAGGGGAAGAGCAAGAAACAGAGATGGCCAGCCTCTTGTTAAGCCCTTTATATGTAGTGTTTTATTAGCTGTGCCAACACAAAAGCTATCTTCAGTTTGGTTTGTAGATTGTAAGCTGGGTGGGAGAAGCTTTCAGAAAAAAAGGCTTTTCTTCCTGTGGCAATGATGTATACTTTGTTAGCAAAGGAAAACTTAAAGGAGAAATTTCTTTTTCTTGAAACTAAAAGGGCAGATAAACGTCTCTTAGACATACCGGAGGCCACTTACTTCTGAGCCTTCTATTGCCAAACCAGATATGAAAGAGAAAACAATTTATTCTACATATATGTGTTAGTTTGCTTGGGCTGCTATAACAAAATACCATAGACTTGGTGGCTCAAATAATGAACATTAACTCACAGCTGTGGAGGCTGGAAGTCCAAGATTAAGGTGCCAGGAAGGCTTTCCCTTTAGGTACAGACACTGACCTTTTGTTTGTCACACGGCCTTTCCCCGGTGTATGTGGGCAGAGCAAGCTCAAAAGAACATCAGTCCTCTTGGATCAGGGCTCCACCCTTATGACCTCATTTACCCTTAATTAGTTCCTTAGAGGCCCCATTTCCATATACATTAGTGGTTTAGGGATTCTACATATGAGTTTGGGGGAACATGAACATTCAGTGTACAACAGTAAAGGATGGATGTAACCATTAAATGTTTTCAAAGATATTTCTCAGTTTGAAAATTAAATAGCCTATTCATTCATTCGTTCATTCAACAAACATTGAACATCCATTGTGTGTTGCTCTGGGCTACAAAAGCTATTGAGAAGTACGAGATCTGTTCAAGTTCAGAGTGATGTGGCTTTTTTACAGGCTGGTCAGTGCACAGTGTACAGCATTGTGGGAAATGTAACATGCATTCATGATGGATTATGGAGAGAAAAGGACTGCAAAGGACGCAAAAATTGGCAAGAAGTGGAAGGCTGGTGCTTTAGCTGCTTCTTAAAAGTGGAGTAGACGGGCATGCTGAATAGGAGAGTGAGCTCCCACCTCTGCAAGTGACAAGTGTTATTGCCCCTGGTTCTTTTCCCCTCACCCAGTGCATCAACTCCAGCTCCAGACTACAGTGGATGCCACACAACCATGACATTCACCTCAAATGCTTTCGGTAATTTAATGCTCACATGCGTAGATTCATTTGCCAATATTCCAATGGAGGTTCAAGGCCTTTCTTCAATGCCGTTTCACTGAGAGGTCCTTTGTGTCGTTTACTAAGCTGAACCCCTAATACATTTTCTGATCCCTATTTTTGGTTTCAGTAGGGTGAAGACAGGAGACATGTATGAAGGAATCTGTGACAGAAAGCAGCTTTTACTTGTTCTTTTCAATTCTGCACTGCTGTCTTGCCTCTTACCAGGTGTTTCCAAATCATCTGACCTAGTTTTCCCTAGAAATGATCACTTGTTCTCATATTTCATTGTTTCATATGCTACCACTAAATTTTTTAAGAATTAATTTCAGTACAGCTGGCATATACAAGTTCAGAAATAAGACAGGTTCTGGGTAACCATACCACTCTATTGGTGGGGACTGGAGAGGCAGAAGTGTGCAGGTGTTCTAAGCAGGACTGACCAGACAGGATCATTCAGGTGTCATGGGGGTCAGTGAGTGCATTTTACAGATAGAAAACCGTGGCAGGTCAATTAGGTGTGTATTGTGAGGTTGGGAGGCTAGAGGATGACTTTTCCTTATATACTGAATCTATCCAGTTCTAATCACTGCCACTGCCACCATCCTGGTCTAAATCACCAAATCTCTCCAGTGAAATACTGTAATAGTTTATTGACTGATATCCCAGTTCCCACCTTGCTCCATTACGCTCCATCTCCCATGATAGCTATGGTGTTCTTTTTGAAAAAATCAAAATCGTATCATGTTCTCTACTTAAAAACTTTCAATGGTTTTCCATAGTGTTAAGCACTACAAAATTCAGACTTCATTCCATGGCCCCCCACCATGATTTCACGCTGCCAGCAGCCCTCGATGGTGCCAGCCCACACGGCCCCATTTCAGTTCTGAGTCCTTTAAGGTTTTCTGCCTCCTATTCCTGCCATAGCCCCTGTCTATTTCCTAATTTTCTCCAATTCTCAGAACCTCAGACTCTTCCAATCTCACTTGCCTCTTAATCCAATTCTATTTGAGAATATACTTTTAAATTGAGCAAACCTAAGTCTGAGTTTGGGCTCCGCATCTTACCTAGTGGGGAAGGTCATGTATCCTCTCTGGGCCTTGGTGCTTATTTCAAATAGAGTTAGTAATAGTGCTCACAAATGCGGTTCATTGACAGGAGTGCATGAGAAAGGACAAGAGAGGTGCTCAGCAGAGGACTTGGTGTCTCCTGTGACCTGGAAATAGCACCACAGCCACGGGTGAGCATGGGTGTGTGGGTGCATAGTGAGGCCATCTGCAACTCTGTGCACATGCAAAGATGTGTGTGCCAGTCAGTGCCCACCACACTCTGTTCTGAAAAGATAACAGGAGACTCAAGAAAAAAGAGTTACCTGCAATACTGAACTATTCATATTCTTATCTTTTGTAGTCTTACTCAGTGATGGTGTAATCTGTTTGAATATTTTCATGGAAATACACTCTTAGTGCACCCAAGGTGACCATAAATTGGAGCTCAGTTCTTCAACCACATCCAATACACTTGTTATTCACTAGCCTTTTTCAGTTCATTGACTGTTCTCGATACTTTCCCACCTCAAATCGACATTTTCCCTGAATTTTCTGTCAACAGAAGAACAAAGCCAAAC